TAGGAGGTTCAAGGTGAATATCCGAAAAAAATTTTTTACTGTAAGAGTGACAGAGCACTGGGACAGGCTGCCCAGGGAGGCTGTGGAGTCTCCTTCACTGGAGACATTCAAACCCACCTGGACGCGTTCCTGTGTGATGTACTCTAGGTGACCCTGCTCTGGCAGGGGGGTTGGACTAGATGATCTTTCGAGGTCCCTTCCAACCCCTAAGATTCTATGATTCTGTGATTTTGTTCTTTGGACATGCAGTGTGCATTGTATTTTGCAATCACTGACTCCCTCTGAGGATGGTGCAACATCTCTTTAAACCTGCAATATTTTTGTCACATAAAGTGAACAATGTGGGTGTCTTTGGGGTCATTAAGTAAGCTTTGTGGGTAGCTTTTTTCACTCCAAGCTGTCTTTCTAAAACATGTTAATACTGCTATCAATGACAATTACCAGGTTTCCAGCTGCAAGATAACTAAAACCTACTTTTGATGGCTGCTGTTTTTTCTAGAAAGGATGGCTCTGTGCATCAATCAGCACATCTGGTGGCACAAGAAAAGAAAGTGGGAGATAACAAGACTGCTTGTTGAGGACACCATAGAATGTTTCCTCTTTCCTGCTATCAAATAGGAGCTTCATTACACTTTTGTCTGTCTCCTACCATTCAGCCGTTCACATGCATAAACTATGGCTTGGGAGACTCTCATGTGAAGTATCTTTCTACAGTTCTCGGAGAATCACCATTAAGTACTCTTTTTTCATAACATTTCCTCCAAGTAGGGTAAAAAACATGCTCATCAGTTTATTGTGCTAGGAAAACTGAGTAAATTCTCCCCTGTATTCCAGTTAATTGCATCACTAGAGAAGCAGAAGGAAAACACCAGCAAGACCACAAAGATTCAAGACTACTTTTGATGGCTTTCTTCAAGGTATATTTTGTTCTTAGTGTTTGCCAGAAAAAATGGAAACAGGTCACCTGTGTGAGAACACTTAGGCACAGTAGAAGTTAATGCTTTGCAGTGAAACTATAATTCTCTTGCAGAGCCCAAGTAGCATAAAAAACATTCTGTGAGGTAAAGCACTGCACTGTATTACTATGAAAACTATATTTTTACAAGTCTGTAACTTTGATATATGTATTTAGGAACCTAGTGCTTATAAAGTAGAGCAATAAGCTGGGTATTATCCTACGACACTAGAGCTTTCTTCCCTAGTGGGTATTTTATTGGTTTATTCATTCTTTCTGTCATACTTAATTGTCAGAGCCAAGTATAAAGGAAGTGTTTAATGTAATTAAATCTAATTTAGGTGCTTAATTGTACCTTCTAATACTTCTTGTATGGGAACTTTTTCTGTATACATCTGCCCTCTGCATACGTACAGAAGACAGAGAGCGACAAAGAAAGGCAGGAACACAAAGAGCAGGGTTACCAAAGTTGTCAGCACAGGGCAAATTATGGTATTTAGTGGCAACAAGAAAGCATGCCCTCTGAGTTATCAGCTGTTTTCATATCCCTGTTCCAACTTGGCAGAGGAATATAGCACATCATGTTCCAAAGGAGATTATTCTGGCATTTAGCAGTACTAGTTCCCAACCTGACCACTGAGTGCAAGTGCGAAACCCCCTATCACTGCAGCCATTCTGAGGCAGAACAGCGCCACCTTGTGGTGTAACTAAAGGTTAATTACATATTCAGAATTCCAATAAAACAGACATGTTCACAGGGTAGATAGCCTCTTCCAAGGATAACCAGCACACAGAGAACGGAAGAATCCGCTAGAGACACACAAATGTCCAGTACTTGAGAAAATAAGGACTGTGAGAAGTAGGAAGAACACAGAAGAGACTGCTAGAAGTTAACCAGAAGAACTGTCAAGGAAGTACTCAGGGACCAACAAAATATTCAACACAAGAGAATTAAAAGGCATTTGGCAAGGAAATAAAAAAAATAAAAATTGAATGAAGATCTGGTTTTATCATGAATATTTATTTAGCCATAAATAAATATTCATAAAACAAAACATGACAAGATGTATCTGTTCTGCAGACAGAACAGGCAAACCTCTGGACATAGTTTTATTCCCTTTTATTTTAAAAACTGACTCTAGCAAATAAATTAAAACATTCTGAATTTTATTTCTCACATTTACAGGTACCTTTCTACCTTTCCTTTCAGTAAAAAAGACAGCTGATGCCTCTCACCTAACTTCCAGCTGGCTGCTGGATAGATTTCGATTTGCCTGTTTTCCCCTCAACTGCAACATAATTACCACTTTAAAAGGGAATTATCTCATCTTAAAGACTTCAAGTAGACTCCGCTCACTTTGGAATGTGTTTGAAATGTAAGCCAGCTGAGCTACCCTCAAAGCACGCTCCCTATCGGATAACAGAGGGAGGGTGGAAGTGAGCGCTAATTATTTGAGGAAAGAAGGATTCTTGGCTAGAGAGGTTCAGAAACGTACAGTCCCAGTCCCATGTTGAAATTTGCCATCCATGTCTACCAAATCCCAGCTCTTTATAGTTATCTCATTAATGCACTACAAATTAGAGTCTGAGAAGGGAATTCTGACCTGTGCACAGAACTACCATCAAAATATTCTAGAGGGACTCAGAAGTTGTTTGCCCCAATCTTATTAGCCATGTCTCACACAGCTTCCTAAAGGAAACTATCAGAACTTACAGACATGGTGTTTTCTTTTTAACGATACGTTCTCATCAATAAATGGCAAGCACATGCAGTAATCAAGAGTCGTGGTACCCTGCAGAAATATCCTCCTTTACCAGTCAGGGCAAAGTTGTCTCTTTTTTCTTCTCTTGCCTTGCAGCCTTCCCCAGTAATACAGATGAGCTTCAAGTTCAAAACAGCATTATGGTGTCATACAAAACATAGTCAAAATACGGTAAGTCACTTTTGTTTTTAAATTCCCACCCAAGACAAATCCCAGCAAACTCATTTTTATCTTGTTCATACTTTGCCTGAATTTGAAACAGGTTATGATCAATTTGCAGAACTTTCCCTGTCCCAGTGATTCTACTTCACAGTGTAAGGTTTCAGGAAGGCAGCTCTCACATCTGTGAATGCAACATTACTTCTAAAGGACATGTTTATATGGCCAGCTATGATTTTCAAATGTAATTGTCACACTTTTGAACACACAAATGTTTTCACATGCAGCACAGCATGGAAGGAAGATTTTCTTCTTGCTCTGAGAATTACACACAAGAACTGTATCACTTCAGAGCAATCCTTCTTGCAAAAATCCACAATTCCATTAAATTTTCACACATTTTCAACATATTTGTACATTCCCTTGAAATGAAATATGAATTTCATTTTTGCTCATCAGGACTGACCGGTGGGAGGGCTCACCACACAGTCAACTGCTGACAGCCAGCACTGGCTATATGAAAATAATGTGTCAGGTTTGCCACTCAGATAGGTACTCTTGTACCAAATACTGCCAGTATTTACCTACCTACTGTGCAGTAACTGGTATATGCTAATCAGCACTTGTCCTCTAACATTCTAAAAAGTTATCCAGTGAAACACACGCATGATCTTTTTCATATGTGATTTCAGAGTAAATGGGTCCATTCTGATTCATTAAATGGAAACCATGCCATCCTGTAAACATAAAAATTCTAACTCAAAGAATTTGAATCAATGAATGCAAATTAATGCTGATAGATTTTTCCACACAAAGTCTTACAAAAACCGACCTCAATTCCCTGCCTCCAAGCTCCCAGCAAAACCATCACCATCTTCAGAAGGAAGTGTTTCTAACCTTGTAAAGAAATCTCTAGGACAGAAAAACAAGTTGTCATGCAGTTTTCAAAGCCAGCCATCACCTATGTAATTTTTTGTCATTCCCCTCACAGCTCTTTTATAGAAGCAAAAAGCCTAAAGTTTGTGAGAAAATATATATGAATTCCCATTCTCTTTAGCTGAGCTTTGTACTGAAAACAGGAGGAATGAAACGCAAATAGGAACTTAATTATGTGTGGCTGGAAAGCTGTCTGGCAGAAAAGGACCTAGGGGTTCTAACTGACAAGTGGCCGAATATGAGCCAGCAGTGTGCCCAGGTGGCCAAGAAAGCCAATGGCATCCTGGCTTGTATTAGAAATAGTGTGACCAGCAGAAGCAGAGAGGTGATTGTCTCCCTGTCCTCAGCACTGGTGAAGGCACACCTGGAGTACTGCATGCAGTTTTGGGCACCTCAATTCAAGACAGATAACGAGGTGCTGGACCGAGTGCAGAGGAGGGCAATGAAGCTGGTGAAGGGCCTAGAGAATAAATCTTATGAAGAACGCTTGAAGGAGCTGGAAATGTTTAGTCTGAGGAAAATGAGCCCGAGGGGAGACCTCATCAGTCTCTACAACTACCTAAAAGGTCATTGTAGAGAGGTTGGTGCTGGTCTATTCTCACAGGTAATTAGCAACAGAACAAGAGGGAAGGGCTTCAAGCTGCAACAGGGCAGGTTTAGACTGGACATTAGGAATTTTTTTTCACAGAAAGAGTGGTCAGACACTGGAACAAGCTGCCCAGGGAGACGGTTGAGTCACCATCCCTGGATGTGTTTAAGGGTCGTTTGGATGTGGTGTTGGTGGATCTGGTTTAGGGGAGAACTTTGTGGAGTAGGGCTGATGATTTGACTCTGTGATCCCAAGGGTCTTTTCCAACCTGAATAGTTGTATAATTCTATGATTCATGGAACTTGCTATTCAAAAATCCTACCAGACTCTAAAGGGTCTGAAAGACATGGGTTATGTAACTTTTTTACTTATGGTAGGAATAATAATTTTCAGTTTATATTGCTTTCCACTTTATTCTTGCAGTTGAATGTGACTTTGAAAGCTCAGTCAAATGACATTACTCAAAAGTCATTAAATTGAGAAGAAAAAAATTGGGAGTCTTGAATTGTTGATTCTTCTCACTATTGCAGGTGATTTTTTGTGCTACCCAAATCTCACACAATGCAAAGAGGCAAAACGTACACTGAATTTTAAAAAGTAAAGTAAGCTCTTACTTTAAATAAAAAATCCAAATGTATTTAGAAATAAAACAAAAAAATCCTGTATGTGTCTGATCTCTAGCCTCTGTTACCAGAGAGGAAAAAATAGCTCACAAGCAATATACATAGGGGCCAAATTTACCCAAGAAGCCAAATGCAAACTAGATGAAATGCTGAACCAAACACAGATGTTATTTTTGTTATCTTTTTCAAGGACTGGTCCTTGGTAAGATGTAAGCTATATGATTAACAGGAGAGCAAAAGTCACAGTACTGTAAATGGGTGAGCAGTGACATCCCCAGAACAACCCTCAGCACTTCGGTACCTACCTACACTAACACTCTCATCTTTTAGAGGAAGAAACTTACCTCATGCCCTGGTCTTTAACAAGGCTCCTTTATTCACCTCCTTTTATATGAGTCTCTTTGTTTACAAAGGTCATTAAGCAGCCTGTATTCTGACCCCAGAAAGAGCTTACCATCCAGGCCAGGCAGAACAGTACTCCTCATGGCCAGCACCAAACCAAGCGGCGATCCAAATAGGAAGAAATCAGACACCTCGAATTCAAATCGGCCCAGGTTTACTTCTGAGAGACTGGAATTCACAGGAGGAAAGTCTGCACCATCTTTCAACACACTTGAGTGGATGCTGAGCAAAGAAAATGCACTGATTCAACAATAATGAATAGGGCATCCAGACAAAAAATCCATTCCCAAAAGAGGCTGCTTAGAAAGCTCTAGGGTCTGTATCTAGATGCAAGCAACTTGCCTTACACTGTAAATAAATATTGCAGTGCAGCAGCCACTTTTTTCCAGTGTGGCTGCTCAGTGAATTTACTACCTGCAACATGCAAAAGTTTTCTACGGAACTATTTTTGGCCATTTACACAAGGACTCAAGACTGAAATTTATGTCTGCCCCTTTTAACAGTACAAACGTATGTGAGCTTATTCTGAAACTTCTGCTACAAATTCTAAACTTAAGTATATATAGAATTATAAACTTAAGCATATAAGAATATATATATGCATACTTTAGTATAAAGACAATGGTATTAAAAGGTTACAGTCATCAAGTATGTTACATGGCTAAGTAAAAAGCATTGTTCTAATCCATTCCCTGAGCTATGACTTAGAATTTCACTACTTTTCAACTAATTATTACAAGTTAAGCTTAGCGATGCTTTTAGACAGCTTTTAATCTTTTAAGTCATTTAAACACTTTCATCTACTTTGTATAACATACATGCATGAGGTGAATACAGATCACCTATCCCTAACTGACCGAGAAAAGACTCATCTCGCATTTAGTTGTATAGGAGATGACTACTAACTACAGTCAGAAGCAGAAAATTAGCATATACACCTGCTATCCAGACATCAGACAGAGCAGAACATGCTTTCAGAGCATGTAGAGCCTCACTGAAAGATACTGACCATGCTGACTTCAACCAAAGCTGCACCTGAAGCCCTCAAGAGTCATCTGCACACTGTACTCCGTATCAGTGGACAAGCATTAGAATACAGAAATCCTGAAGACCGGTCCTAAAACAGGACAAAACTCCAGGCTTCTCTTTCAATCTGAGAACATAGTGACATTCTTAATTTACAACCTGATGCTGTCAACTCTGGGGCCCAAGGTTAGGGCCCCTGTAGGGAAGAAATTAAGAAAGCCAAGAATTAAATCAATCATTGGCACAGCAGTAAGGAGTTACCTCTACATGCCAAAAGCATTCATACAAAAAAACCACAAGCTGACACACTGAAACACAACCAGAATATGTAGGACAAGGACATTTCTCTGTGAAAGAGCAAGCTCCATAACCTCATTACTCACACTAATGCATGACCACTAAATTGCAGCAAATGAGCTCATGGGGAAAAAAGTTTTAATGATCTTATGCAAGTCTCACAGACAGGAAAACAAAGGCTTGGAATTTCCCTCTGTGTACAGGGTGGCTCAGAGGATGACATGGTTTGGTTTGATTTGTATTTTTTCTGCCACCTTTAGCCTGTGTTTTTGCAGCTATTCCTCACTAATTTAGCAACAGGCTGAAGTATGAAGAGTCAAAAATGTGAATGGAAAAGAACACTCTTCTATCTGCTTGCTTAAGTACAGTCAAATGTAAGCTTTCTGTTTAAAATCAGATACACAGGAAATGAAAAAAGGCCTACCTTTGTCTTTCTTTCATTATGCTATTATCCCCCAAGTCTGAAATGCTTTATATAAGCCTACACTGTGATTTAAACATAACATAGTACTCCTTCTATACAAGAACCTACAAGTGACTGACCAAAAAAATCTTCCAATTTTTAGTCACAGACAACCAAAAAACAACCATTTTGCTGCAGAGGGAAGACACTTTACAACATATGGATAAATCCAAAACTCACTGGTTTGAAAATAAAAGCAGAATAGTCAACAAAAGCAAAGCAATGTACATTAAGTCAAAGCAAGCAAATAAAATTACCTTAAACTGCTAGTAACAAAACTGCCAACTTGAAGCAAAGCAAGTCTGTACTACACTCAACTGTAGCTGAACTGAAAGTTCAACACACAAGAAGACTTCTCCCTCTTCATCAGTCCCAATGAAATAAAGGAAATAAGATGATGGATGGAAGGGAAAAAAGCACAAAGGATTAACATAAGTCATAAACCAAATGGGTTTGAACAAGCAGACACAATGAGACAAAGGGAATAGTTTTCTTCCCATCAAATCTGTATGTGGGAAACAGTTCTTCTTCCCCACGGTATTTTAAAGTTTTCTTAGGATCCAGGAAAATTAAGTAAGTTAACTCTCCTCCCCAAACCTCCCCTCACTTGAGCCAAATGTTTATGCTGGTGAGGTGTATTTGTTTTAAAGCTGATCTGAATAGCTCACAGACCAATGGGAGCAAATAAAGTAAGTATCTCACTCTATACAGAATAATAGAAAGTCTGTAAATGAAGTCAGAGAGTTCTTTAGAAATAAAAATGTAACAAATTTAGAATGATAAAGCATTCACCCATGATTTGTGGGAGCTGCAATGAAGAAATGGAACTACATGCATTCAGTTCGATATACTCAAAACTCTCACAACTGAGTAATGATTAAATAAAAAAACTCTCCACATGTGAGTAAGTATATCTTTGGTTTTCTTTGAGGCGTACAGAGGAACGTGAAGCAAACCACCAGAAACATACCACAAACAATAGATTATTCTGTTGCTGTGGTGTTGAGAGGTTCCGTTCAATGGGAAGCCTATTTCTTGTACTCAGTCATCAAATGCTAGTTACCTAGACAGGAAAGCATGATGCTGGGTTATAGTATCACAGTCATAGGTGGATGAGTCACTCTGTTTCCTAGGCAACGGCTGCCCTGGCTTCTCATCCTCCATGATTCCCGAGATGTCAATATTGCTTTTGCTCAGGCGTTTGCTGCCACCCAGACTTGAGTCCTCTGCTAAGAGGGGATTATCCTTCAGAGAATGAACAGAGCAAAAGGAAGATTTAGACAGTGATCAAAATATGACACAGCTTACATGAAATGGCTGCATTTATACATTTGATCTCACTTTATCCAAGAAAGGATGGAAGGCGTTACACCTTCTCTCTGCAGTAGGTAAGTAGAGATGAAGACTATGTTTCCCTATAGATGTATAGTCTCGAAGCTGGAAGGAGAATCAGGAATTTTAGAGAGAGTGAGGAGGATGAGGAGTACACAAAAGCTTAATCCCTCATTACCTTATGATATTTATGATAATGTCATCAGAATGGATCTTACCTGAGTGCACAAAATGCCCATTACAACATTAATGGTCTTGCTCATCATGTTCCATGGATGCAGGACCTGATTTTTTAAAAATGTGAACTTCTGCAGGATGCAAGAAGAGACCACTGGTACCATATCTTTAATGTACCCCTTAATAGATAATAGATTTATTTATGGTTCATTTCCTCTGGCACTTGTGCAGCTTGCACCAGCATCTTCCCTAACATAGCCCAATTATGCCCCAACCTTTATTCCTGCAGCCCTTTCTGCAGCCCATGCAAACAATGCTTTTCAAAACAAATGCCACTGGACTGAATACCACTGTTTCAGTGTGAGATATGGGTATAAAAGGCACACAAGATCTGCTTCTTTCTAACAACTGTGTAATTGAATTCTGTGTAAATCTCCTATTCAGATCAACAGAGTAAGATAGTGTGAATATGCCCAACATTTATTTTTACAAAACTTCAAAGATACAAACATCAACAAGGCACACTGGGAGAACAGATACAGTTAAACCCCTTTTGATTGCATAAATTACAATTTGGTGTTAATACTATAAATAAATTCATTAGAGTGAATAAGAATATTCATGGTGGCATACAAGGTGGAGGCAAATCCACACGCACATAGCTGAAAGGGAATTTTTAGAGATTGAATCAAAGCCCATGAAGTGCATTGACAAATCTATTGATTTAAACGGGCTGTAGGACAAACTCTTAAGCGTAACACTATTGGTGACTTCTGAAAACCATGGGTGCTGTAAAGATTCAGTTTCATCAAAACCCTGGTAATATTTTAAGGCTCTCTTTATTAAAATCACATGCCAGATATGTCAGCATCTTGGCTCCCAATACTTTCTTAAAAGCACTGGGAAAAATGGGAACCCTTAAAGGTGCCAGAGGCAAGAAAGCAGACACAAGGAACTCAGCATGATTAAATATTTTTGTTTAGGTCTCTTTGAGTTCCCAGTGGTCTCAGGAAGAAGGCTGACTATTGGAAAGCCACTGAGCTGACAGCAATGATAACACCAAATGCTTTGTTTTAAGTCACACAGATCTTATTCCGCTCTATTTAAAACTAGCTTGTGTTACCATAGAACTTTTTCATAATGGAAGTTAGCAACTTCAACCCTGAAAGCTGCCAACAATTCACCCTTGTCCTCTAAGCTTCATAACAGGCTCTCCTTGCAGAGGGTGTGTTCTCTGTGTCATAAGACAATCTCAGAGAGGTCAAATTTTGCAGGAGTTTGACAGCCTCAGAACAATATTGTGTGGGAAAAGCATCGAGCTCCCTCTTCTGCACTGTTATCATCAAGGTTAACCTAGCATACTTGGAATTTCAGTTGTGCATGTTGATTTACTGGCCATGATCTTTCTGTCAGACAAAGTAAAATGCTAGCTGCTTTTTTTTCTATTTTTAAACTCTAGAATAATAACCATCACCTAAAGTGAGTTACCAGGATCAGGATATCCTATTATGGCACAGCAGAAGAGAGCCTTCATTTTCATTGGTCAAAATAAACACATTCTAAACTTGATTTTCTATGGGTAAAGCTCAGGTCTTTCAAAGCATACATGCTACAGACAGTTATATGAGGGAAGAAAAAAGTAGTTTTAGAAGGACAAGGTACTAAATCTCTGTGAGACAACACTAGGGAAGGTCACTGGTAAATTGCCTAGGCATTCTAGAAGACAAGTTTCAAATTTGTTCTTTTCCTCCTTCCATATAACTCTCTTCCCATACTCCTTTACATTTTCTCCACCACTGCTCCCTATATCCATCTTCTTGGACCCAGCATCATGACACTGCACTACACCACTGAATTGTCATTGGAATGCTCTTCACAACTCATAACAGCAAATGTCCCAAGCGAAAAGAGACTTTATCATGCTCAGTACTTTTAAACAACTTGCAAAGAGCGCAAAATCCAACTCGAGAAAACAGAGAATGTGAAAAAGAATGCAAGGCTTGCAGGTGAGGACTGAGGCACAATAGATCAAGAGACTTGGCCAAAATCATGCAGACAGACTGGAAAATATGCTAACTGAATTTGTTTCTCTGAAGCTACAGAAAGAACAAGTTCATAGGACAGGTATTTTCCATAATTTCACTCAGTACTGGAGGACATAAGCAGCCCTGTGCATGTTGGGTAAACTTTCATGTCAAAAAGATATGTCAACAAACCTTATCTGTTCTCCAGAACTACACAGATGAGTTGCAAGAAAATAAAACCAGGACAGAAGCAGTATATGATGTATGAGACGAACCTTGCTATGCTGTTCCACCTATAGTCTTCAACCGCTAAGGAGACCTCTCAGTGAATAATCTTAATCCTGAGAACACAGAACCTGGGGACTATAGTTAGCACCAGTTCTGGAGCAGGCCTTTATCCCATGAACAAACTGTTCATGTGATACTCCCTTGGAGACGGAACTGGGACCAAATTCTTCTTCCATGTTACTGAACAACCAATAGGGAAAGCCTGAAAACCATTTCACAGAGACACAAGTTTATTTGGTGATAAGAACTATCACTGAGAAATTAACTTCTCTAAACCATCTGGGCCTTCTGTGCCATCTGAGTGGTGAAAATTACTTCAGATGATGAGAGTATGTAAAAATGTCTGTGGCACTGTGGCACCATGGTGAAGAGAAATTGTTCAATTTATAGCAGTCTGATACATTAAAAAAAAAAAAAAAAGTATTGTTAAAAACTCCCAGATTCAAACATATTAAGAAAACCTTACCAGATTTTAATCTCACTGGCTTGAGTATTTAGGTTCACCTTCATGACACAATCTTACTTGTGTAGCGCACAAGAGACTGACCCAATTTAGCATGTATATTAACCAGATAAGGGAGTGTGATACAGGTCCAAAAAATATACTAAACCACTTAAAAAGACATTAGGCAACATATTAGAAGGTTGTGGTGAACAGTATAGAAACTATTCACTGCATTTTGAACAGTTAAAAGCTTCTTTTCCATTTCTACAACTCCCTCACATGCCACAATTAAAAACCTCATCCGCAGTAAAACAGTATCAATACTGGGATTTGAATTAGTTACCTACAGATAAGTGACAGTGTTCCCAACCAACTACAGTGATTGCTAATATAAGACTTTGGGTTTCCACTCCTAAAGATGGACCAAGTTCACTTCATCCTTCTATCCTTTAATAACCCAAGGAATGGTATTATGATGATGACGACGACAACACTGGCTTTCTTTGTTACGTATTTTGACATTTGCAAATGTTACCAATTTTTAAAGAGCAAGAGTTACTAAGTCTGGTCTGAGCAGGGAGACATCTGGTCTACTGCAGATTCTTTTATTGAACATGCAGGTAAATTTTCAAATACTAGCCGGTACAAGCATGTACAGGCAACAAGCGTGATCTCAGTAATCATTCACATTTCTGCCTATACTGTAGAAGTCACTGCCTATTATGGATAATCCTGACTTGATTAGTCAGTGTATATTGGAAACTAAAATCCTGAAAAGAGACTACAACACACAAAGGAAGCAATACTCACCTAGGGTAGCAGAAGAATGTAGCCTTCTACCTCTGTATTTACATTGCCTCATAAATTTGCAGGCCCCCTCTCTTCAAAAGGAAGTTTCTAGTGATTAAAACTGAACTATTCAGAAAATGCAATAGCCACTGCATCACCTATCTAGCTTATTTTCATGGATCACTTTGAAATAAGAGTAAGAAGGAAGTTATATAAACCTAATGTACTCTGTTTTGACAGTTTGTAACCAGAGCATAAAAGGCAACGGTTGAGAGTACGTCAGTCTCATCCTTATTTCCAACTAGTTTTGTTTCACAAATGCCCCTAACATTTGTTAAATGGTAAAAAACACTCTGCATCTCAAACTCTTCCAATGAGATCCACTTCTACAGGAGACACTAAAGAAGGGAAAAAAACCCATTAAAACCCAATTAAAGAAAAGAAAAAAAAAGAAAAAGAAAAAAAAGAAAAAAAGAAAAAGAAAAAAAAGAAAAAAAGAAAAAGAAAAAAAAGAAAAAAAGAAAAAGAAAAAAAAGAAAAAAAGAAAAAGAAAAAAAAGAAAAAAAGAAAAAGAAAAAAAAGAAAAAAAGAAAAAGAAAAAAAAGAAAAAAAGAAAAAGAAAAAAAAGAAAAAAAGAAAAAGAAAAAAAAGAAAAAAAGAAAAAGAAAAAAAAGAAAAAAAGAAAAAGAAAAAAAAGAAAAAAAGAAAAAGAAAAAAAAGAAAAAAAGAAAAAGAAAAAAAAGAAAAAAAGAAAAAGAAAAAAAAGAAAAAAAGAAAAAGAAAAAAAAGAAAAAAAGAAAAAGAAAAAAAAGAAAAAAAGAAAAAGAAAAAAAAGAAAAAAAGAAAAAGAAAAAAAAGAAAAAAAGAAAAAGAAAAAAAAGAAAAAAGTCCTCTTGAATGTGTTTCACAGAAGCAAGCCAAGAGCAATGGACAGAAAGACAAGATAAGGAAGGAAAAGCACACTTAGTTCTTTTATACACACAAAGTAGTAGAGATAAAGACAGGAGAAGAAAAGGGAAAAGATGGATAAAGAGGGATGGGAAGAGAATCTCTGTGGTATCAGGAAAAAGAGGAATATAGAGAAGTAAAAACCATAAGAACAGGTAAGTCAAACAAACCTATACTCCACAAAGCGTGATCCCTCCTCTCAGACTCATCAGCAGCCCTTGCACAATCTCCCTATTACTGGACTGTGATCCAGGAGGATCCCTTTACCTTGCTTGCAATGCACTGTCTTCAGTGCTCGAATATCAGAGAATGGCTTCTAAGAATCCAGAGAGTGCCATTCTATTATCAATGAGTACTTCTCCTTCCTGGAAACATTTAGAGGATGTCTCCTTGCTCAAGAGTACTCCCCTTACACAGAGCTCCCAACTGAACCACTGAGCCCATTTTTAAGGAGACAGGTAACTAAAGAGTCAAGAGATTAAATAATACTGCCAGGTTCACAAAACCATCAAAGAATGGAGTGTGGGCACCTCACTCTAATACACTACAACCCTTCTCCATATCCACTTGAGTCTTAAGTACATAAGATTAATTGAACTTCAATTTTCTTTCTTAAGTGTTGAACACAAAAAAGAAGCTGACATGCTAGTATTACTTTTAAATTTGTACATTTACTATCAAAATCTTTCCTGGATCACAGAATTAATCCTCCCTTCCCTCCAGAGGTAGCACTCACATAAACACTGTTATGCTCAGTGGTCTACTCATCCATCCTCAGGAGACACATTCCTTATCAGGAAGTCAGGAAGCATTCTGTCACTAGTCACTAGAACTTACTCACAAACATATCTTAGTGCTAGACTAGCCCAGGCAGTAGCACAAGTAATTCCAGATCCGATGTGAACAAATTACAATATTATAAAAAGAAATATAAAAAATTTTGGCAAAAACAGGAGCTTACCAGAGATTACTTAGAGAGGAAATGTTTGCATCTACAGTTAGGGATACAATAAAGGGCACTCGGTAACCGTAATTTAAAGATTTACAGATAAAATCTTTGCTACTAATTTCTGAATATTATAAAACTAATCCTGCAGATCAGCATTTTTTTATATATATGTGCAAAATACTGTGTTATCATGGCAGCTTACAAAATCCTTAAACTTTCTCTGATTTACACAGGGCCAATTTCCTCCAGAGAATGAATGTACAGGTTTTAGCTATGTGAATTTTTTCTCTTCACCTGGATGCTGCTGATGCTTCCTCTCCTGCTACTGTTCCGACTCTCGTCAGCTGTGTTAGAATTATAGCAGATGGCATCAAAGCCCAAAATTCCTCCAATGCAGTCACCAATGAGACACACCTGAGGAAATAAAGAGATTTTTGGGGGGAGATGTAGAATCACAAAATCATCATTGTTGGAAAGGGCCTCTGAGATCAGAGTCCAACCATCAGGTGTTTTAAAAGAAACAAAAAACATCACAGCACTGCAAAATAACTGCTCTCTTACTTCACACCCTTGTTGGTGTTTTTTGTACGCCTCAACTGCAGCCGAAAATGTGTGGCCACTTTGTCCCACTTCCTTTTATCTCAAAACATATGCCTTGTGCCGAGAACATCTGTACCAGGGTCTGTTTTGACCATCTGAGAGTTCTGTCAAATGGGCAGAATTCTTCCAGCTGCGTACAGCCAGATTCCAGCAGGAAAAGTCCAAATCACCAGACAATCAGCCTGTCTTGGTTTAAGCCAACCAAACCAGGACACCAGCCTCATAAAGATGTCAAGCCACTGCAGCTGGGCTATTTTTATGCTTCAAGCAGTGATAGTTTAGTATGGATATTAAAACTGCCTTCAAACCAAATTTTAGTCTAAAAATACTGATACAACACAGCATACTCTTATTACTGCTATGGAAAAGATCTTATTTGTGTAATAAGACACATGCTTCAAAGATTACATTGTACCTTGTATTAGATGGCCTTTTTTTTTCTTGTTATGAAGTCTGAAGGTCACTGTACTTTCTGTACTTTAAGAAAGCACATTTTTCTGGCAACATAGAGGGCCCCATGACAAAATAATTTCAGTAACCCACTAAGGATAGCAGTACCGTATTTATTCTATGTGAAACATGAAAGTGCTGGGTTTTGTAGCCTAAAGATGGAGAATAAGGAAAAAAAATATGGCACATCAGCTGTAAGAAGTGTACAGGTGGCTTCACTGGGGAATGGGTGACACCAGAAAAATTACATGACTTTCCCAAATCTACATAGGAAATATACAACACTGCTGGCAACTGATAATTTGTCTTCTAAGTTCCTTTCCTGCCAGTTGTTTTATTACTACTGTGATGGAGGCAAAAGAGAAACAGTACTAATTACATGTTGGATTCCTTACATTAGTCAGAAATGTTCCAACTTCTCTGCTATAAGCAGGTGTGTGAGGAACTCAGTAACACTGATTATCATTTACCTTGGGCTGGCAAGCTTTGTTCACTGCTTAAATTACCATACATTGCACAGGTAAGTCTCTCATAAACTATCAGACTTCGTAAGAGCTATGGGATCAAAATGCTTGTGAGAAGGTATAGTATGTTCTACCAACTGAGTTAGTCCAGGTTAGTTATTGCACAGGATTCCAGAAGTGTCTTCCTCATGCTGAGCACTGAAAATGCATTTTGCATAGGTCATTCATTAATTCTTTCACCATATTTGCAGTATTGACCCACACTCACAACTCAAAATCCTCAATACAATGGCTTAAAAAGAAACAAACTTGCTCCAAAGGAATTTGACTTCGACATAAGAGAAAATAGTCCTACCTGTCCATTAAAACCAGCCCCATCTGTAGATTTCAGAAATTCATTGTAGACTTGATTTGCTCTACTGATCACCATGGCAACTGCATCCTGGTATTGAGGGGATGAAACAGCCAGCAAGGGCAAGGCAGCCAGTGGGATGTGGTCTTCACTGCTGCTGAGACAGCTCTCATCATAGCTGTAGGGGTTTAGGCTAGAGAAGGACATGCTAGCATCAGGAAAAATGTAAGAGGTAGCACACAGCACTAGAGAATAAACAGTTACTTATTAACAGAAATGGGTTGGGCTATTGCAGTTCACAATGAGAGAACACAGGAAGCATAATTTTCTCTCAGAATTCAATTGGTTAAAAATCAAGAAGTCACTGCTTTACGAATGAGATCACATTAGAAAGCATTTCTGCAGTTAAACATCCTTGGTGCAATTTTTCCATATACAAGTAGACATAGTTTAGAACAGCAAAGAGATTATTATGTTTCAGTTTTTGGTTTTTTTTCTCCATAGAGCAACATCAAAGAAGAGGATGCAATCATTACAATGAAATATTGTTTCCTAGAACACAAGTATGACAGATGCATTATTTAAACATTAAAACATTTTTGCAGTGTCCAACCCTTTCAAAAAGATGGAACAAAGCTGCACACATTCTGAATTTATACATAAATGTTTGCACAGCTACATTTTGCAAGAAGAAGGTGACTCAACTGAAAATGCAAGTTTAAATTTTATAGGATGTCAGCTTTATTTTAGCTTGGACATGCACCCTGCAAGTTTCTCACTAAATTTGCTAATTCTGTCTTGACTAATTTTTATTGATGAGTGGAAAAAAACAACTGACAGCAAGCCAGAGATATAAGGCACATTAGCGTGTGCCAGATTCTCTTGGAGTAAGTTGACAGTCCAAGAGACTAAAGGAAGGTCAGAAGTATTCTGGATAATTCAGCTCAAAGTTTATCCAAAGCTGCAGGCAGGCAATTTGAACACAATTTTGTATTAGAAACTTGGTGGTCTATCACGACATTAAAAAGCAAGCTGCCTGAAATGGGATTAGTCTGTGTCTTTGCTAAAACTTGCATCCCTGAGAGTATTCCAGGCAATGGAAGAACTGAAGACTCTCAGTGCTCCAGTATGGAAGCTGGCCTGTGCTCATGTCCTGAGCTTCACTGAACATTTCCACATTTGCTTCTTGTTGAAGCACTCCAATGACTGGAGTCCAATATTTGCTCCAATATTTTTTGTCCAAAGTAGTATAATACTTTGTATATCCTGGAGCTCAGCTGGTCTGCCAAGTTGTGTCAATTTACTATTTAAAGCAGCTTCCCTTATGCCAGCTGATTAGACCACCCAAATGCATAGCAGACATACAGTTATGAATACTAACTCTCAAAAGTGAAAAACAAACCTTTAAAACCTACACAAAAAGGCCTCATTTACTTATAATAAATGGCAGGTAACACCTCAGAAAGGGAAAGGGAGAAATACAGGAGGAAAAAAGTTACAAAAGGAATTGTTGAAATGGAAAAAAATACCTGCAAATGCTTTCATAATAGAAGTAAAATGCAAACAATATTCACAAGAAAACTACATAAAACAGAGTCAATGGAAAATAAATAGCTGTTGGATTTTTGGCTGTTTGTACTCCATGCTGACAGTGGTGACTTCCTGATTCTCAGTGCTGGAACAGACAGTTATTCCTCCACTTTTCAGGATAAATGAAAAACAAGAAACAAAATATTCAAATAATGACTGGACTTCTCCATACACTTCCTAATTAATTTATAAAAGTATTTTAAACAATTGATTAGGAAAACGCAACACCATGAACTTACATTGTAGGACCCAGCACTGTGAAGGAGCACACAAGGGGCTGAGGACTCCAAAACATATCCAACAGAACACTTTTGTCTCATTTGATTACTCATATGCTTACTTCCCTCTTTAAGTGTTTGCTTCCTAAACGTAACTTTTATTTTGATCTTTTTTAACTTCTCTCTCCCTACTCCCCCCGCCCATCTCAATTTACAATTAGCATTCTCCAGTTTAGGTGGTAATTTAGGAAGTCTAGTCTGAGGTGTGAATTGACATATGCTCATCAAATCATATCCTACAAAAAGTATAACAGTTATGACAGAATCACAGACTGGTCTGGGCTGGAAGGGAACTTAAAGATCATCTAGTTCCAACTCGCCTGCCATGGGCAGGCAGGGACACCTCCCACTAAACCAGGTTGCACAAAGCTGTTGATCTACTGTGAGGTATTTTTCTCCCTGAAAATGGAAGAGATGTCTCTCAAGTCATCTAACTGGAACAGAAATTTGCTTTTAATGCTAATCTGTCCTTAGCAGCAAAGATAGAGCTAAGTGTCACAGGAGGTCAGTCATAGATTTACACAGGTTGCATAGACAGTGTTTTTCTGATTAATCCAAGAGATGCAGGAAACTGGAAGTGCTGTGAGTAGATTGGAGAAGACCAGATTAAACAACCCAAAACGTTTACTACTTGGAGTCATTTTGCCCTGAAACATCCCTTTCCTTTGAGCCCCTGTTTGCAAAGCAGGAAGGAGAACTGCATAGGTGCTTTCAGATTAAAACTCCCAGTGTAAGCCTTCTGAGCCCAGGCACTCAGCTCACAGACAGTGTAATTCAAAGCCTATGCCAAGATAAACACAGAGTGGTACTGCCTTGGCAAGCACCCTGCCTGCACATTCAGAAAATGGTGGATACATTCAAACCAAACAAGAAATCTTGTGCAGCTGCTTAGTCAGTTATCTGGCTCACCCTTGATGAAACATTACAGTAATTAAAAACGCTCTTTCTCCCCCACAGTTTGCTAAATGGAACATTTACCACAAATTTATGTTCCACAACTGCATTCTGGAGTTCTGGCTGTGAAAGCTGCTGGCATGAAGCTGCAAAATGTGAGAACAGGGAAACATCTCTCCTTTTGTACATCACCAGCAGCTCCATGCGAGAACATATCGAGGCACTACCAATCTTATGTCAGAACTGGGAATGATTCTATAGGCCATTCAAACATCCAGCTTGGCTATTTTCAGTGTGTCTTGAATACTATGTACTGCAAAAAGAAGGAATTAAAAAAACAGAGATAGGAAGTGGGACCTCTGTGAATTTGGGCTGCCAGCACACCTCTTTCTTTCTGCTCTACCAGCTCTTCCAGATAGTTGACACCTGCATGCACTGCATTATGGGACACCTGAAACACTACTGAGCCTTGTGCTAACCAATGGCTCAAATGGGCAAGGATGATCTCCCAAACACTCTGATGCATCAACTTCTCTTCTACTATCAGTCCTCTTCCTTTACAGAGCAGTGACTTGGACATAGACATGCCTCTCCTTTCCTGGTTGTTTCTGTGTATTCTTCCTTGATGTGATCAGTCAGGAAACTACCAGGAGGATTTCCTATAACATCCTGTTCATACAATAGCCATAAAGATGGCTATGTAGCCATAAGATAGACAAATGTCAGTTGACATAACCAAAGGCACATTTAGCCACGTTTCATTTTTAAAATAAAAGTTGACTACTGATTTTTTAGGGGTCAGTTTTGGCAAAGGGGGGGGTAGATGGCAGGAGGATGAAATATTGCTAGTTATCAGTTTTCTTCTTCTGTCCAGATTCCTTCTGGATCATTTTTTGTTTGCTTGTTTTTTGTTTAGGATGCATGCAGATGACAGGCTGTAGTCCACCATGGTTTCTTTTTGGTTTGGTGTCTTTGTGTTGTTTGTTTTAGTTCTTTTTTAAAAAAATTCCAAGTCTTGCCTTAATTAACAGATGAAGAAGGATTCATAACAATTCATTATGAAAAAGACAGGTCATAGAAAGCCATTCTAAACCACACTGCAAAGCCAAAAATTAGAAAATGCAGATCAACTTACTTGGAAACAAGAGAGAAAGCTGCTGAACAGATTGCTGGGCAGGGAACAAGTCTGATTAAGATGTGGCCCAAAGCAGCAGGAAAATGGGCTTGGGTCACTTTCTCAAACACAGAACTGAAGGTGCTGATGTCTGCCAGCTTGCTGCTGTGGTCCCCACCTCCAGTGTCTAAGATGTTCCCCCCATGCAGGATCAAAATTAGCACATGAGTTTTGCAGTTCTGATGTTGAACTCCTTCCTGTGAAATAAACAGGGAATAAGAAGGGAGGAAACATTTTTAGGGACAGTGTTTGTATATTTGTTGTCATGTTCACAAGCAGTTAGAAGTGATGTTTTTCTCCCACCTCCACTGTAATCTATTTGTGAAATTTGCCTTCCCTGAGGTGTGTGTGCATGCCCTCTGTTCCATTTAATTCAAGTATGTCTGAACAAGCTAGAGCCCACTATGCTCTGCCAGAAAACCCTTGCAGCACAAATGTAGGTTTCAGACCAAAGAGGATTATAAACAGCTTTGTGTACATCAAAAGGTATCTTAAATACATTGAGACTGGAGAAGAACTCCAACATCCGCAGACAGCTAAGCAAGTCTGTCTAGGTATCATGAACAAGGCTGCTGCATTTACTGGAAAGGTTCTAACTCAAATCATCACAGGCTCTAAAAAGACAAATGTCTCTTCCAATGAAAACAGCCTGGAAAAGCAGATGACACTTATCTCAGCCTTTTCAGATTGACAACTTCTTATTGAAATGAAAAATGGGACCACTTACCCAGACATACAGTGAAAGAGTAAAAAAGTATCCTTGCTGATGTCCATAATCTAACAAATACTTTTATGAATATGTGAATATATGCACTCACTGACAATAATCGTTGTGCTCCATAGATTAAACAAGATGTTATCTACTTGAGATCAGAAAAACAATTCTCACAACTCTGCCTTTTTTTCTTCTTAACCCCTTGAGTTATGTGCATTCAAAGAACACAGAAACATATTAAAATATTAGAATTTTTTTTGTTTTGTTTTACATCTTGACTGCCATTTTCTTCTTTGCCTTGGATCACATGATTCCTGAAAACTTTTAGTTTCTGGCCAAATATAAACATGCAATAAAAAATAAATAAATTGTTAATTCCTAGATTGGGTGATTTACTGAGAACTAGGCAATGTTCTGGACACTTTATTCTTAAATTCTGGAATAAAAGTGACAGTCCTCAACAGTAAATGTAAAATGAGAATGGTTCTGAGTTTAACTAGAACAGCATTAATCAGAAAAGCTGACAAGGAAACGCACACAATTTTCAGGCTGTAGTTTAGTGAGGGGGTAAGGTCAGAAATGTTGACACGAATAAGACAAAGAAACTGCTAACTTTAGCACCTGTATAATGGTGACAGAGAAATAGTTGAAAAGGAGAGAAATAGAAGTTGTTCCATAAATCCACTACCTCAGTTCAGCCCATGATTTTTAGTATCCAGCAGAAGTATTCTCTGTGAAGGTATTTTGCTGACCTGCTTGTATCTGCTTAAGTACTGGATATTACAAGAATTTTTAGGGTTCTACTTTTTTTTGCTCCAGTTTACAACTTCCCTCTCCATATTGTTCTACTCCAGTTATTCAGAAGTGAAATTTAATTCCCTTTAAAAGCTAAGAGTAGCTCCTTTCACAGTCAATGCCAGGTTGCAAATAAGTGGCACTGCTGAAGGGTTAGTCGTACTGAAAGCTTCAAAACAGAGCAAAAAATCCAAGTGGGTCAACATCGCTGAAGTCACTGCTACAAAAAGACTCTCAGCTGAATTTAACTAGTATCCTTCACAGGAGGACTTAAAGTGAATGAAACTAACTTGTCTCTCAGCAGTAGTTCAGCCACGACTGAGACAAAGGGTTCAAGAGCTAATCAAAAGTAGATGTGAAGTCAATCAAGGACTGTAATAATTTTCAGGGGGCTGTAGGATTGGAATTCTTAAAAATTGGAAAAGCAGACATTTCCATTGCCTGTCTCATACATGGACAGAGGACCTTAATCAGTCAACTGGAAGCAACTCAACTTGTTTAGATTCTTTGCTGCTTCTAAACAAAAAAAAGCAATTCTGTTACTATCAATTTCATGAATGCTGCTGAATCTGCTTCACAAAATCTGCATTTTTACTAAAATATTAAGTATTAACATAACCATTTGCATTCAGAGAACCAGGGTAATATTTCCACCTACGTTAATTAAAATCTTGTGATTTTCAATGATTGCATGTGCACCTACTGAACAAGAGTAAGGCACACTAAGCCACCAAATGGGTTTATAATTCTGTTAATACCATAGGAGAGTATTTCCACATGTCTGCTCCTTGGAAATCAGCATGGCTTGTTTTGGGAAACAATCTCACCTCATTGTCCTCATGTATTTCAATACTGCCTTGTGCCGGAAACCTTTGCTTTCTCAAAGAGCCTCTATATAATTCACCTGAAAGGAAAGGAGACACAACAGATTGTATTTGGCTGCCTCATCTTTTACAGACCTCTGTGGAGGTAAGGCACATCTCTAGTTTCAAGACAGACCTTTTCATAGGAAACCCTGTGGACAAACAGAACAACAGAAAAGATTTCTTGCAGCCCTTAAATAAACTTAAATAGAGAAATTAAATACTGTAACATTTCACTGAGGGGGAATTGCTACAGCTGAAGTCACAGGGGTCGGTTCTTTGGGGAAGGCAAATGTGCTTTTCCCTTCTACAGACAGTGATGAATCTCCAGACAAGATGTGAATCCCCCTACCCCTGTAACACCTCCTCCTCCCTTTCATGGGGGAGGAGGAAGCTTTGAAATCCTTCTGAATGTCAACACCAGAAATTTGTTATTTAAAACTTCAGCTGACGGCAGTGTTGCAGCCTTAAAATACTACTCATCTTACAAGGGTTAGCTTTTCTGATGAAAACTGGGAAGCCTTCCACCCTGCATGACAGATAGAAGTTTTAGGAATTAAAGAGAGAGGAAAGTACTAAATAATAATAACAAATCAGTTCACTGGCAGCTTTCTGAATTTGAATACATTTTCCTCTGTTTCTTTCAGTATGTCAGAAGAAAGTAAATGCATCATATTATGCTATAGATGACTCAGTTTACTTTTTTTGGCATTCTGAGTTCACACCCTCTGTGGTTCCGCTCCATTAGACGTATGTTTATAGGCAGTTTGCCAGACCCTACCAGAGAGGACTGTAATTTTCAACTCGCCAAGGGCACTGATTAAGCAGAGTCTGGCCAGGTTATTGTAGAAGCACTGAAATTAGTCCAAAACACATTCTGAACACTCTCTACTCTTCTGCATTAGGATTAATAGCTCATTCTACAGCAGATTGTATCACTATCTACATTATAACCACTGGACACTTATTTAACCTCTGTGGCTACATTTGTCCCTATAAAAACAAGGTAATTTTATTGTTGCCTTTAAGAATTTAAAGGGTTAATCATTAAATACTTGTATAAAACAAAACAACATATAAAAATCCCCACAAAACACCAACAAAACCCCTACCAGAAACCCAACCCAACAGCAACAACACACCCATAAAACCCTGAACTTCCACCAAATGTAGTTGCTTTCTGGAAGCCTCTGCAATTTAAAGCTGCTTCTAATTAAAAGTGTTGTTTCCAAAAGCATGGCCAGAAGACTCACTTTTTTCCTGAAGGTCATAATACGAAAAAGTGTCAGCTTTGTTACTCCTAACTTCACAACAGAACCAGTAGCACAGAAATACTAGTTTTGTGTTATGAAAAAGAATTATTCAGGGCCCTAAGGAGCCACCTTAGAGTGAACCACAATATTTTTCTTCAAACAGGAAACCCAAGTCTCCTCAACAGACACTCACAAATCTCTTCCATAATCTATACAATCCAATGCACTATACAAAATACTTCCTAAGATTACTTGCGTGCTGTGGCTCTTAGCAATACGCAGTAGTAAAATAAAGTGAAGGAGGTGAGTAGAAACAGAAACAGACACTTAACCTATTGCTGAACTAGAAGGAAAACAGCTCGCCGTCCTAAATTAAATGCAACCATGTTACAGAAATAATACTACTCTTATCTAGCAGTCAATATCGAGGAACAGTGGCTAACTACTGAGTCAAGTTATTTAATGACTAGGGAAGAGATTTACCAAGTATTTCTAGAGACAGGAACATACACTGCTACCACCAGATACCAATGAGCCAGTGTCTTTAACAGGGATTGTTTTGGACTTAATTTTCCCCTGGAATTGGTACACATAATATATGCTGCACATGTTCATTAGTAACTTACAGAAACCTCAAGCAAGCTTTGTGTCTATAGCCTTGCCTGAAATAACTCATTGTCCCAACAGTCTCTTCATGTACATCAGATCTGAAGATCAGCCATCAACATGAGAGGAGAGCCAGGTGAAAGTACAAGCTTAGACAGTGATTCAATACCCCAAGTCATTAGAAGCATCAGTTCCACCCATGACAAAAAAATAAGTAAACAAGCACCCTGAATCTAGGAGAAGATAATTTGCATGATCATTCCCAAACTTCTGAGAACTTGAGGTGCAGTTCAAACCTGTATGAAGAATCAAGCCAGGTCCTCTTTTTTTTCCACACCATTTCAAACATCCCTAATGTTTTGCAACATTAATTATGGAGGAAATGAGAATAAAAAATGAGAAAACTTTCTTTAGGTACAAAACATAAGGTGGTGATTGTCCCCCCAAAACCCTGTTATTTCCACTAATGCACTCCCTTGAAAAATTGCACTGTTTCTTGCCATCTGCTCTGCTATTACTAGCTGCTTATAATGACAAATATGTCATGAGAAATATGTTCACATGAAGGCTGTAACATATGTTTTCTATTAACAAATGATAAAGAATATTGTCATACACTGCAGATGCAGTTTCACAATCTGCACTGTTTAGAGGAAAATAATGGCACGCATCACTGAGCCCAATCCTGTTCTGCAAGCCACAACATGAGATAGTGCCTGTGTTAACTTTTATTCTGTTTCTTCACATACGAATCTTTTATGACTCCTGTGAAACACTGGAGTAGAAGCCACACACAGGGTTCAGGCTCCAAGTGCTCCTCAGCTCTGGTTCACAGACCAGCCCTGATGAGCTGGGCAAAGCATGATTTCCAAAGGGTTGGCACAGAGTGACAACATGTGCTTATGAACATAGCTGCAGGAACAGGAAACTGACATTTCACTATAAACTCAATGAGGGCAACTAACAAATGCTCCTAGAAAGGACTGTGAGTAAAAAAAACCCCTCATTACCACCACTCATTGCTGTAAGCCAGTTTGCTCTCTTAGCGAGCAAAGCAGAAGCATAGAAAGATCACAGTGACATGGGAATACACTCCTCAAACTGAGGCACCAGCAGCCAAGGAACCCTAGCAACACCAGGTATGGCACTACTTTCACTCCTACAGTACTCAGACTTTAACAGCAACACCTCTTGCCCCTCTTCAAGCAGACAGGGGAGAAGGAAGTCCAAAGCACAAAGCACAGATGGTTTCTGGTCTCCAGGCCAGGCTGCCCTGTCCCCTATGAGCTATCATGTGTACCAGCAGCTTCACCCTCCGATGCTCCCCTTCTGCCACCCTAGCCAATGCTATAAGGCACTATCTAATGCACCAAATAACGCTCCAGACAGTTTATTGGTACATTTTCATAATCCACATTCAAAATAGATACAAAACTCAAAAAATCCTGGTCTGTCCATCCACACCCATCTCTCTTCTCAATATAACCTAACACCAGATCTGTGCTGGCTAACACTTCCATTCTACTATTATCTCCAGCTGTTGAACAGCCTTGGTTCAAAGAAAAATGAGAGGAACTTCAACTCACGTTGTTTTTCCTGCAGAAAGTCAGATGAGCTAAATGCAGACTCTTCATCTGCAAAAGGAAAAACCCACAATATGTAACAGGATTGCTTTACATTAACATCAAGCTCTTTACTTCTTCTACCATACTGCAATAAATATTTTTGCAACTGACCACTATACTGATTTCCAAAACTCTTAGTGCTTTCAAGAATACCTCAGCATAATCTAATCTGCTCCTCAAAATGCTTAATCTAGAAGCCAGATTTTATTCTACATTTCAAGAAAGACATCATAAGCAATGAAACTGTAGCCGAGAATCTTCTTGACGACCTGTAGCATTAACCACTGAGTATCTAAATAACTAAAAATTAATATAACTTATAGAGCAACACAAAATAGATTCCCATTGCATTTTAATTAGCAATGGTTTTTAAGAAAGTCTCTGTTCTTTGACTCCCTCCCACAGTCCACCTGTCCAAGGAAAGCTTGGCTCTCAGCTAAAAATATTTTAGTGCTTGGTTTTAGCTTCCTCCATTTTGCATACACTTGCTGACCTGTGTTCCAGAGCACACAGCATCACAAAAAATAAATTACAGCAGTTGAAGAACACTGCTAACATGCCCGAGTATAAACTGCTACCATGGATGATTTGCAGAAATCCAATTCACTGCTTCTCTCTAAAACCGGATGCTAGAAGTAAATCTGTTCTTTACGTGAACCATCTGATCCATTTTGGAATACTGTTGACTGTTCTAGTTTACATCCTTCCCTTCCACTGTTCACTCCACTAAGGCAAATTTTCCATTTGTCATTCTTTACATTATCAGGCAGTGGCAGATGCTATTGCAATAAATGTAATAGCAGCATAAACACCACAGTCAGCTATGTACAAACGCCCTTTAATTTGATGACTCTAAGACGACATGACAAGGAGGGGGAGATCACAGGCTGCTGGGGGGAAGGAAGAGCGCAGCTTGTTTACACAGAAGATTCACTGTGGACAAAATTAGGCAAGGCAGCCTTCAGAGGAGAGAGACATGCAAGTACAAGGTAAGAATCACTATACTGAAAGCAGAGTCACAAGGCTGTACAGATTTTTCCATTATATTGAGTACTTTGACCATTGCATAAATGTTGGAGAACCTTCCGAGATGCATCGCAGATGTAGCAAAGGAGACTGAATCAGTGGGCCCATGAAAAATGAGACCAGATGAAGAGACCACAAAAACGATCTTTGTGTGCACCCAATCTTGCACAGAAACAACAGCTTCCTGTAGGAGTTTACTGGATCCAACTCAACATTGCTCATAATTTCCAACACTATGAGTTAGTAACTACATCACAATTGACAAGTGTCTTAATAAAGTGTCTAAATTATTCAATGCAAAAAATGAACCATTCCCATTTAAGTGGAAAATGGTAATTAACAGTCAAGTTGGCATACACGCAAAACTTTCTCTTTATTCTCTTGACCTAATAATAAAATCTAACTTTTTAAAAAAGCATTAGAAATGCAAAATTCTACAAAACAATCAAGACCTACATATAATTAAGCTGAAAACAAATTAGTTGATTCCATTTCTACAAGTTTTATACGCAAGAAAGAATTAAGGGAGAACAAAATACATAAAACATCCATTGTTATACCTGGAAATAATAGAAATTATATAAGGAAAGAAAAAGAGACAGAAAAAAACCCACAACATTTCAATCCTGCTTGAAAAAAAGTTGACCTTAAAAAAATCAAATTAACAGCTGCCTTCCTGCCATACTTTGCAGTTAACTCAGGACTGGCTGCTAGCACCTTGCCCATTCTCCTTGCCAAAGGCATATTTAACCATTGCATAGGGAGCTTCAGGCTCTGCTTTACTCCTAACTTATTTGCATAAGTACATATTTAAACACTCTACAAGCTTCATTGAGTTAAATTGAGATGAATATTTTTTTTAATGTGAAACAATAGATGGTTTCCAGAATGCCCAATAAAATTTATGGGAGCTCAATGCAACTTGAAAAGATAGCCCTTGTGAACAGTCCTTTCAAAACCAAACCAAACTTTCTGCAAACAGAAGAAGAATCACTGTAATCTAGTCAAATCTTTATAGCAGCCTTGTGCACACAAGACAACTGAAAAGATTAATTCAGTTAGTGCAACAAAAGCTACTGTGAATCCTAGGGCTTTAGAATTGCAACAGCAACACCAAACACAAAGTAGTATTGTGGAAGTAGCCAGTGACTGACCATCCCCTTCCACGCAGTAAGCCTCTGTTAAAAGCTGCTACGACAGATCCTGCTTTCCATTGTACTCCTATAAGTCCTGTTTCTTCAGAAGGGTAACTCTTTACAGTACTCTCTGCAAAGGTGCTGCAGTTGAGACGATTGCTGCACACAAACACCTGTTTTCAGGAAAACAAGCCTGTTTTCTGGAAGCAAAATACTTGTTTCAAATTAGTGTGAAATACAAGAGTGTAACTGGATGACACAGTCATATGGTTTAGTTCTAGGTAGTCCTCCAAGGAGCAGGAAGTTGAACCTGATAATCTTTATGGGTCCCTTCCAATGTGAAATATTCAATTATTCTATAAAATATATTACTCCACAGATGTATATTAAACTTAATCTTAAAACCATTATTCCAGTCTTCCAGTTCTGTTCAGTGCCTTGTGGACATTACGAAGCAGAGCAAAGACAGCAGTTGAGGGAATCATCAGGAAGTTGCCCCTGCCATCTCCTACAAATGTGCTGCTTCACACATAGAACAGGCCTTTTTTTTTCCCTTTATGCTAGATGCAAAAAGATGAGATATAAAAGATATTATAATAGATTTGAAACAAACAAACAAACAAACAAAACAACCCCCACATGCAAAAAAACAAGTAGAGTAAATACATCACTGAGTGTTAACATCCAGGTAATGTTTTTTTAAAGACTGGTTACAAAGAATATTTGGAGAGTGTGGGAACACTGTGAATTTAACAGAATGTTATGGTTGTCCATTCATAAGCCACAGTTTTTGGAGAACAATTCTTTGTAAGTTTTAAGGTGAAAAGCATAAAATTTGCCAGTAGGAATTGCACAGCTCAGTCCTAGGTGGTGCAGAAAGGGCACAAACTGCAGCTTTTCATACAGATATAATAAAATTTGCCCAACAGTAGCACTTCCCAGCTTCAAATCACTGCCTCGTAATGAGCTGGATGTGAAGAATAAAGCTTAATCTAAATCAACAATTCAAATGAGTCCCAGAAAGAGAAAAATGTCACCGTCAGCACTGTTTTCCAGATAGACAATCAATATGCTAAAAGATGAAAAGATCTGAGTAACCTGGTCATGTGTAATGGGACCAAGAAAGGCCTTTCACTCACTTTTTATGAAAACTTCCAGTTGTAAAAGCTGATTATATCCATCTATTTTGCTGATGACCAGTAAAGCAATCCAACAGGCTGTGTGTGTGGTCTATGAAGCACAGGAAATGTGAATTTCACAGGCATTTTACAGTCAGTTATGTTTTAAACAACTAAAAATGAAATTGCATTTTGTCAGTTGCCTACCTGCAAATTCATCCTCACTTGAAGTACTTCAATTTGATTAGCTGGATTTGTAGAGTAAAATACTAGCATATTGCTGACAAAACTGACTAATGGCTCTTAAAATTTAACTAGGGTGTATTAAATCAATAGTCATCCTTTCTGGTAAGCTGCATTACAGAAATTACATTGTTACTTGTTTGCAGGCTTGCTTGTTTACTTTATGTTCTACAAAAGCACCACTAATGCCAAGTTCTTTTATTTATTTATTTTTTTAAAAAAGATCCTCATATTACAGAAATAATGTTGCAAGCCCAGGGTATGCAGCAGATTTTTTAATGTCTTCTTGCAGACTTGAGAAGCACTTGACAATTCCCATCATACCAACTTAAAGATGCTGTGATTACGGAAAATAAAGATGCCTGCTGTAAGCTTGTTGAACAAGTTAAGCTTCAAAACAAATAAATAGTCAGGGCTCATCAGGGTTTTGCCTGTTTCACTTCTTTATTTGTATGCATTTGTGGGTTTTTTTAATGTTCACATTGTGGAAAATGCAAATGTACTAACACCAAAATTATCCAGAGAAATGTGACTTTTTCCCCAGGAAGGTTTCAAAAAAAACCTACTCACTGCAATACACCCAACAGACCAGTGTTCATGGGACTCCTCTAAGAGAAGAAGCCCAAGTTCAGGCCCCTGCTACAGATCTGGTAGAACTGGAATTTGAACCATTTTACAGAAAAAATAAGTAATTGTACTGGGTCTATGTAGCTAGGTGTTGGTAGTGGGGGGCTACAGGGATGGCTTCTGTGAGAAGACAAAAGGAGCTGCCCCAATGTCCCACAGAGCCAGCTCTAGCCAGCTCGAAGACAGACCCACCACTGTCCAAAGCTGAGCCCATCAGCAATGCTGGTAGTGTGCAGAGTGGCACAAAGCACTGTGTAACAGCTGTGAGAGAGAAAGTGAGAAAATGCAAGATGAACAACTTTGCAGACACCAAAGTCATCATAGAATCATAAACCAGTTTGAATTGGAAGGTACCTTAAAGATAATCTAGTTCCAATCCCCCTGCATCGGCAGAGACATCTCCCACTAGATGGTGACTGGTAAGTAATCTCCATTGCCTATCTCAATTCTTGAGCTTTTAATTGTATTTTCTCCCACTGTTCTACTGAGAGGGGGGAGTGATAGAGTGGCTCAGTGGGACTGAAAAAAATTGTCTTTAAGATATAAATGTACTTTTAATAGGGAAGGGTGGAGTGATGAATCAAGAGAGAACAGTGTTTATGTCAGAATCCAGGATCTGAAACCAAATCCTCTTCAACCAGCTGAGGACAATAGAGGCTATTATCACCCATCGCTTTGGAACACTTCTGCTTCTCACAATGGACCAACTGTCCCTGTAGAGCTTCCTTCCATATGGTGTACTATGCCAGTCTTGGAAACTCGTTTGATTACTCTGGATAACAGCCTGATTGACTTCTCTCTTCAGTGGGCCATACAACCACTTCAAACATTCAACAAAATACTGTGTGACT